GGCCGAGATTGGGGGGGCAAGGCGGGCGACAGAAGGCCGATGCCTCCGTCGCCCGGCCCTCTACAGAATCCACCCCCCAAACCTCCAGGTATTTCCCTCCTTAGAGCTGGCAACCCTACATTCCCCTCAGTGCCTGTTGGTAGGCAACTAAGCTTGGTCCTGTCACCTACTTTGGCCTTTGGGAGAAAACACATTGGGGCCAATCCTGATAGGGTTGCCAACTCCAGATGGGAAATTCCTGGAGGTTTGAGGGATGGAGCCTGAAGAGGGTGAGGTTTGAGGAGGGGTGGGACCTCAGACAGGTACAATGCCATAGACTCCACCCACCAAACCAATCAGTCCCACATAGGGAACCATTGTTGCCAATCTCCAGGTGAGGGCTGGAGAGCACTCAGAATTACAACTGCTCTGCAGAAGGGAGGGCAGAAGTCAGCTGAAGTCAAAGGGGCAGATAATGGTAGGTTGGTGGCTAGCTGGGAAGGAGATGGGGTTGCCAACTACATGCTGACAAATTCCTGGGGATTTGAGGGGTGGAGCCTGGAGAGGGTGGGGTTTGCAGAGGGGTGGGACCTCAGACAGGTAGAATGCCATAGACTCCACCCTCCAAACCAGCCATTTTGTCCTGGGTAACAATTGTTGCCAATCTCCAGGTGAGGGCTACAGATCACTCACAATTACAACTGCTCTTCAGGTAGCAGAGATCAGTTCCTCTGGAGAAAACAGTGGACTCTGTCATTATACCCTGCTGAGGTCACCACAGCAAATTGACACTGTTTGCCCAAAGCCAGAGCACTCCCCCAGAGCCTCTTTCTAGATCTCGTTGTATTGTTTTCACAACGGGCTTTACTGCTAGTGGGGGGTATAAAACCTTATGTCTCCCATTGTAACCTTAGGGAGAGCTGTGGGCTCCAAAATCTTGTTGAACCTGTGCTTCCCTCCTTTATTAATAAAGTTCTAGATCTGGTTCTATTCTACAGGATTGTGCCGAGTGTTTTCTCAAATCGGACTGGGGAAACACAAACTGAAGACAGGATTTCCGTCTAACACAGGGGACATATGCTGTGTCCTGGTCCAAAGTGCGGTTCTTGTGCCAGCTGCTCCAAAGTGTGGTGCCCCCCTGGCAGACACTGGAGCTGCCCTCTGTACCTAACCCAATCTAGGGTTGCCAAGTGGTTTTTATTACCAGCGGAGGAGCCTCGCCGCGCTCCAGAAGCCGTTCCTTGTCGTTCATCACCAGAGGTGGAATCAAATTCTCCTGATGAATCACCTATATCTCCATCAGAAGACTTAGTTCAAACTAGGATTGATATTTTCAAACTTGTATGTTTATTAAAATTGAAATATTTCTTTGGAAATGGTAGAAAAACATCACGACCCAAATTAACGCAGCCACGCTGTGCTTCGGGGGGCGGAGTTCCCCCCGGGGCCCGATTCCGCGGCGGTGGAAATCGGGTCTCCAAAGCAGGGGTTTACCTGCCCCCTTCCCCCACTTGGCAGCCCTAACCCAATCCCAGTCTCTGTAGTCTTGAACACATAGAACGTGGCGCTTCGCCGTTCAAGGGTCACAGAAGCCATCGGGACCTGCGGCCCCAGTCCACAGCCGCCTTAAGCTATGGCCAGCAGCCTTCCAAGGCATTAACCCACTTCTGTGAATTACCTCCGTTCCGAGCCGCGCATTGCTAATTCACCTTTCTGTGGCCCTCTCTTGCAGTGAAAGCCTGAAGATCAACCAGAAGGAAAAGCTGTTCGGCCTCCATCGGAAGACCACTTTAACCCGCTCTTTAGCCAAGCCGTGGGGGTCGGGGAAAGCTCGCGTGGGGAAGCAGGGGGCCCCCAACATTGTCTTTCTCAAGACCCACAAGACAGGAAGCAGCACCGTGCAGAACATACTTTTCCGTGCTGCCGAGCGGCGCAGCTTGGCCGTGGCCTTCCCCCGCTACTCCTATCAGTTTGCGTACCCCGAACGCTTCTCCAGGGACTTTGTGGAAGACCTCCCACCAGGGGCTGCCCATTTCAACTTGCTTTGCAGCCACATGAGACTGGAGGCCGGGGAAGTGCAGGCCGTCGTCCCCTCTCCGAGCGTCTTCCTCACCATCCTGCGTGACCCAGTGCGGACTTTCGAGTCTGTCTTCCACTACTACCGAAACATCGTGCCCGCCTTCCAGCCGCTGGCCAACCACTCCAGGCCGCTGCTCGCTTTCCTCGAGGCGTCCAGCCAGTACTACGACGCTCAAGATGTCAGCAACGGGCTCGCCAGGAATCCCATGACTTTTGACCTGGGCTTGAACGCGAGCCAGGAAGTGGCGCCGGGCAGCCGGTGGGCCAGCGAGCTGGAAAGACTCAACCAGACCTTTCAGCTGGTGATGATCGCGGAACATTTCGACGAGTCCTTGCTTCTCGCCCGGGAATTGCTCGGGTTGGACATGGAAGAGCTGCTGTACGTCCGGCTAAACGTCCGCCATAAGGAGGAGGCGCCGTTGTCCAAGGAGCTGGTGCAGAAGATCCAGGCCTGGAACTGGCTTGACGTGCAGCTCTATAGGTTTTTCCAGAGCATCTTCTGGCGCAAGGTGGAGCACTACGGCTACGTACGCATGAAGCAGGAGTTAGCCACCTTCCGGGCCCTGCTGCAAGAGGCCGTGGGGAAGTGTCTGGCGGGGGAACCCGTCGGCCCCGAGGTCATGGCAGATGAACTTCGGCCTTGGCAGCCGGGAAGTGTCACCATTCTGGGCTACAACCTGAGGCAGAACCTCACCTCTGACCAGTACAGGGACTGTTTCCGAATGGTCTTGCCTGAGCTTCAGTATCACGCCTACCTCTATTACAGGCAGTATGGGAGGGACATGCGGCCCCTTCCCACTGCATAAAAGGTCAGCGGAAGCCCAGTCCTGGCTCTTCTATTCCAGGGGTTCCCAATGTTGCATTCTCCGGACTGGGTGCTGCCAGGGGACCACAAGAGAATAGCAGAGTGTGCAAAGGCTTTAACGCAGCAGAGGAGGAGGAGAGATTGGAGTTATCCCCCGCCCTTCACTTGGAGTCTCAGAGCGGCTGACAAACTCCTTTCCCTTCCCCTCCCCACAACAGACACCCCGTGAGGTAGGTGGGGCTGAGAGAGCTCTGGCAGAAACTGCTCTTTTTCAAGAACAGCTCTTATCAGAACTACGGCTTGCCCAAGGTCATCCAGCAGCTGCAAGTGGAGGAGTGGGGAATCAAACCCGGTTCTCCCAGATGAGAGTCTGCGCACTTAACCACGACACCAAACTGCGGCTTGGGGCTAGGTGTGGCGACAGACTTGCGAAGTCACACGGAGTCAGCAGTCAGTTCTAAAGCTAATAAGTACCTTTTCATTAAAGGAAACACATGCTGGAGAGTGCGGGTGAGAGAGAGAGAGAGATTACCAGTTCTAAGTAGTCAGTTCTAAAGCTAATAAGTACCTTTTATTAAAGGAAACACATGCTGGAGAGTGAGTGAGAGAGCGAGATAGATTACCATTTCTAAGTAACTAAATCAGTGACGGCAAACCTTTTAGAGACCGAGTGCCCAAACCGCGACCCAAAACCCACTTATTGATCGCAAAGTGCCAACACGGCTATTTAACCTGAATACTGAGGTTTTACTTTAGATCCAAACAAAGTAAGGAAAGCAATCCCAAATGCTTTCACTTACTTAAAATTATTTGGCAGAGAATTCGACACTTTAATGATGGTCTGGGCCTGGCTGGGGCGATGGCACGCGTGCCCACAGAGAGGGCTCTGAGTGCCACCTCTGGCACCCGTGCCATAGGTTCGCCACCACTGAACTAGATGGTGTTGGATGCTGGACACGTGTCCAGCCTCCATGGTGCAAGACGGAGATCACGCACCTTCTTTGTGTGTGTGCGAGAGAAGAGAGAGTGAGAGAGCAGAAGCAGAGGGAATTGCCCCTAAGAGTCGCATTCTGCTTCAAAGGAAAGGTTCGGATAGCAGGAAGGAAAGGATGGGCCGCGTGTCCTGACCTCTCTATCTGCCTAAACTCTTTGGTGCCATCTTCGCAAGTCAGCGCCAAGTCCTCCAGTTCTAATACCCAACATGGTGCCCTGGGGTGCCATGGTGCCTGCCAACACCTTTCCTGGCCACCGGCGAAGTGTTTTTAGAAAGTAGGCAGGACTAGGTGGGGCTTTTTGCCCAGCAAGGCTTAGGATTGGCTGTTGGAGATTTGATTGGCTGTGCGGTTTTCTGAGAACATTGCTTCGGCAGCAGCTGCCACCTTGGGTTGCCGAGTCCCTCCAGCCACTGGTGAGGGTTGGAGGGGTCTGGTTGCCAGCTCCAGGTTGGGAAACTCCTGGAGATTTGGGGATGGAGCCTGGGGAAGCTAGGGACCTTGGTGGGGCTCAATGCCACAGAATCCACCCTCCAAAGCCTCCATTTCCTTCAGGGGAACTGATCTGTGCAGTCTGGAGATGAGCTGTAATTCCGGGGGGTCCTCAGGTCCCACCTGGAGGCTGGCATCCCTACACCACAGCACAAGGGTCTTTACAGTGTGGCTGAACGTAAGCCTGTGGCTGCCGTTTTTGTGGCTGGCTCTGCCTTCCTAGGGCTGTCATTCCCCTGCTGGGGGCAGGGGATTGCCCTGTTTTGTGGGCTCCTGCCTGCCACCAGCCAATCGGCTGGGGGAGGAAATCCCCCCCCAACAGAAATGTCGTGTGACACACCTAAGTCACCCGGGAGTGACATAAGGAAAGTTGGTGATGTTGGGGGGCGACACTCTGGTTTCTGGGCGAGACTCCATGGTTCGAGGGTGAGTTTACCATAGAGCTTTGTCCAGAAACCAGAGTGTCGCCCCCAATGTGCCTACATCACTTCCAGGTGATGTAGGCACAGCGCGCGATGTCACTTCCGGTGACGTTGGCACGTCAGGGACGATGCTTCTGGCTCCCAGAATGTCCCTCTCCCTGCTGGTGTCCCCACCAGACCTGGCAACAGGAATGTCCCCCCCACCCCGCCAACGTCCCCGGCAACCCCGCACCTCTCGCAGCACCGATTTTGCATCAGGACGCCCAAGGTGCCTGGAGGGCTAACAAAATTGGGGTATGCCCTGACTTGGGTAGCCAGGCAGGGCCGACTCTGGCGAGTACTTGGAAGGGGGGGTCTCTCCAAGGAATACCAGAGTCTGGAGGCAGGGGCAGGCAATAGCAAGCCACCTCTCTGAATGTCCAAGAGGGGTGGCCAGAAGTCAAGCATGGCTTCCAGGCATGTGCACACGCACACACACACACACACACTCACCAAAAGTATTGGGGACCCCTGCTCTATTCCATTCACTTCACAGGTCTCTCACAGCAGCTGGGGTACACTGGGGTTTTGTGAGTAGAGAGCTAAATCCAAAATAATTTGTTCTTTTATCCTAAGGGGGGGGGGAGATTCTTCAAGGAATCAAGGAGCAACTTCCTTCACCACGTGTGCGCGCAGGCAAATCAAGGTGGCCATGTGGGAGGCAACGGAGGCCGATGCTCCTCAGGTTGCCCGGGGGTGGTGTATGGTTGCCAGGCGTCCCCTGGCTACCGGAGGGGGATGGGGTGTAGGGTTGCCAGATCCAGGCTGAGAAAATCCTGGAGATTTGGGGATGGAGCCTGGGGAGGTCAGGGTGGGGAGTGCAGTGCCCTAGAGAGCCCACCCTCCAAAGCCTCCATTTTCTCCAGGGGAACTGATCTTTGTAGTCTTTAGATGAGCTGTAACTCCGAGGGATCCCCGGGCCCCACCGGGAGGCTGCCATCCCAAGGCAGCAGAGGGATCTTATCTGCTCCTTTCAGCCACTTCACAACAAGTGGACGGGGCCGTGGGGTCGTTTCCCCAGCTCACTTCTTTCCCTGCTTAGCCCAGCAGCACACGGAGGGCAGGGTGGGTTGAAAGAAGGATCAGGCCCGAAAAAGCCAGACTGCAGAGGCAGATGGTGTCTCTGGACCCTGACGACAACCCCATCCACATTACAAAACTGGACCCCTTTACACAGGTGTACAAGAATCCTGGACAGTCGAGTTCAGGGGTGTCGAACTCATTTATTATGAGAGCCAGATCTGACATAAATGAGACCTTGTTGGGCCAGGCCATGCATGTCATAAAATGTAATGCCAGGTAGCGGAGATATAAACTTTATAAAGGACACAAACACAAAGGGTGGCCTTTTTTACTCAAAATAAAAACATGCTTAAAACATTAGCACTCTTGCAATACTTTGTTTATTTAAGTGTCTGATAACTGACACCTCCTGCTCTGAATGATTGCATCAAAATGTCTGTGCTGTTGCAATCTTGAGTGTGCTCTTTCAGGTGTGTATCTGGAAGCTGCAAACCTACGATGACGCAGCAGCAGCAGAACTGGAAGAAGCAGCAGAAGACAGCCAGTTCCACTGCAGGCCTGACAGAAGCCCCTCTGGGGGCCTAATGCGGCTCCCGGGCTGCATGTTTGACACCCCTGTTCTAGTTTGTTCAAGATCCTGGGGATTTTCCATTAGAAACCTGGAACGGCTCCTCCACAGAGCTACAGTTCTTAGAGTTCAAGAGAATGGGATGCTGATGTCTGTGTTTTGTCTCTGTCCTCCTGCCTTTCTTCAGCGTTCTTGTCAATTCTACGAGGTCGATTTCTGGGGGACAGTCGCTGCGCCCCTGCAGAGTCCTTTGGGTAAACAACTGCAAAGGCAGGTGGAGCTTCTCTGCTCTTCGGAGTTGCGTAGGAGAGGGAACAGCCAGCGTCTGACACACACGCACCCCACAAGCTGCTGCCACCACCTTTGAATCTGGATTTCCTAAACCTCAGCCAGTCCACTGAGATCAATGTGATATAAAAATGTGGCGATAGAATGTGCTGTGAGGTCGTCCACATGAAGCCAGCTGGGTGACTTTGGGTCAGTCACAGTCCTCGAAAGAGCTCTCTCAGCCCCGCCTACCTCACAGGGTGTCTGTTGTGGGGAGGGGAAGGGAAGGTGATTGTAAACCGCTCTGAAGCTCCTTTGGGTAGTGAAGGGGGGGGGTATTAAAACCAACTCTTCTTCTTTTCCTTCTTTTCACAGCAGGAGACATTCAGAGGTGGGTTGCCCTTGCCTGGCTCTGCGTAGCGATCCTGGATTTCCTCGGCCATCTCAGCTTCCGAGTTCTGACGAGGTCAGGGCTCCCTGCTTCTAAAGTAAAGGTAAAGGTCCCCTTGCTCGAAAGCCAGTCGAATCCGACTCTAGGGTTGTGGTGCTCATCTCCGTTTCAAAGCCGAAGAGCCAGCGCTGTCCGAAGACGTTTCCGTGGTCATGTGGCCGGCATGCCTAAACACCAAGACGCACGGAACGCTGTTACCTTCCCACCGAAGTGGTACCTATTTATCTACTTACAATTTCTTGCTTTCAAACTGCTAGGTTGGCAAGAGCTGGAACTAGAGACAAGAGCTCACCCCGTCTTGCGGCACCCGGGTCTTGAACTGCTGAACTACCGGACGGCCTCATTCCAAACAGTTTTCAAAGGCACCTCACAGTAATCATTGTAGCTAGATAACACTTTTTGAGGAATGGATTTAAGCCAGTATCTCAGTCAAAGCTGACAAACAGTGCTGTGTGACATGGAGAAGACAACCTGAGGCTCTCAGTCTTGACTGGACTGAGGCTTCAGTCGATTGGCCCTCACCCCACCTCTCGTACTATTTAATAGCCACACAAAGGACAGAGGAAGGTGACGTTTCCCGTTTCCTCACACCCCGGTGAAGTGACCCAGGCTGTAATGTATTGAAATGGCTTACTGAAATCGCCTCATTCACTCCCCATGCGAAGCTTCGAGCCGGACGAAGGCTCCTCAGAACTGACTTGCTATTGGTCGCTCTACAACAGCGACCAATCAGAACGGCCTATTCCCCTGCGAGGGAAGAAAGGGATTCTGCCCGTATTTCTAGACCCAAGAGATGGAGAGAGAGAGAGCTCCGAAAATGTGCAAATATTGATACAAAAGAAGCAGCCAGAAGACGCTCTCCCAAAACCACTTGTGTGACTTGAGTCATCTCACGATGGGCTTGTAAATGACGTCAGTTATTATTCCCACATTACAGATGTGTGTGGCGGGGCGGTGGCGGCGGTGGACAGAAACTGAGAAAATTCTGGCCTTCCTAAGACTAATTAGCCAGCCAAAGCCAAGGGGAGGTGGGAACCAGTGTTCCCTCTAAGCTGAGTTAGTGTGAGCTAGCTCACAGTTTTTTAGCTTCCAGCTCACACATTTTTGTCTTTGCTCAGAAAAGGCGGCTCCAGAGCAAAGTAATTTATGCAGTCGCCAAATGGCTCGCTCACAACTTTGAGGCCAGGAGCTCACAAAGTAGAATTTTTGCTCACAGGACTCTGCACCTTAGAGGGAACAAAGATTTCCCGAACTCATACATGTAGCAGTCCACAGTAGTGCACAAACGGCGCTTCGACTTTCTATTCCGGTTCCACCAATAACAGCAGCCAGCTTCTAGCAAGGTTAAGAGCGACATCGCTGTGATCAAGCACATCCTCTCTTGCAGATGGGGCTGCCAACCTCCAGGGGGAGGCTGGAGATCTCAAATTAACCACTGATTTCCAGGCAACATTGATCAAATCTCCTGGAGAAAATGGCTGCTTTGGAGGGTGGACTCTCTGGCGTCACACCCTGCCAAGGTCCCGCCCCCTTCCCAAACCTCTCTCCCTAGATTCCACACACACCCCAAATCTCCAGGTATTTCCCAAGTAGGAGTTGGTAACCCTACTTCGTAGGGCATTAGCAGTTAAAGAAGTTCTTATTCATTCATCATAATTCCCGAACCCTGAGAAATCCTGGAATTATGTCTGAAGTTCTTGACAGATTAGATCCCACAGTCCAGCGTTTCTTTGCAAAAATTTGCTCCTTCTCTTTGCATTCTAGCATCTCGGCCCCAGATCTGAGGAATTCTCAGGAAGGCAGAGTTAACAGCAATCCCAAAGAGATGGGGGTTATCCACTTCCAGGGAATAGGCCAGTTCAAGCATCATAAGAATGTAAGAGCCCTACTGGACCAGAGCAGTGGTCCATCTAGTCCAGCCTCCTGTCTCACACAGTGGCCAACCAGTTCCTCTGGAGGGCCAGCAACAGGGAAGAGAGGCCGAGGCCTTCCCCTGATGTTGCCGCCTTGCTCCTGGATTCAGAGGTTGACAGCCTCTAAACCTGGAGATTAAGAACACAAGAAGAGCCCTGCTGGATCAGACCAGTGAGGGTCCATCCAATCCAGCATCCCATCTCATGCAGGGGTCAACCAGTTCCTCTGGAGGGCCAACAACAGGACACAGAAGTCAAGGCTTATATAAGGACATAAGAAGAGCCCTGCTGGATCAGACCAATGAGGGTCCACCTAGTTCAGCATCCTGCCTTGCACAGTGGCCAACCGGTTCCTCTGGAGGGCCAGCAACAGGGCAGAGAGGCCGAGGCCTTCATGAGAACCTCAGAAGAGCCCTGCTGGATCAGACCAGTGGTCCATCTAGTCCAGCACCCTGCCTCACACAGGGGCCAACCAGTTCCTCTGGAGGGTCAACAACAGGGCATATAGAGGCCGAGGCCTTCCCCTGACGCTGCCTCCTGGCTCTGGTTTTCAGGGGATTAGTGCCTCTGAATGTGGAGGTTCCCCTCTGTCACCATGGCTAGTAGCCACCGACAGACTTATCCTCCATGAATCTGTCTGCTCCCCATTGAAAGCCGTTTATTCCTGTGGCCACCACTACATCCTCTGGCAGCAAATCCCACAATTTAACCACTCTCTATGTAAAGCAGGGGCTAAGAAAACGGTCGCAAGGACACTGGAAGAACGCTGCCGGATCAGGCTAGTGTTCCATCTAGTCCAGCATCCCGTCTCATGCAGGGGCCCGCCAGCTATTCTGGAGGTCCACCAACAGGGCATACAGATGCGGAGTGAGGCCTCCTCCTGATATTGCCTTGGGCCGCAGATCTGGACCGCCTATAAAGGGGGTAGATTTTTTTTACTCTGAAATGCCACAAGGAACT